ACATCCTGCTTTATCTTGCAAATCACCTGCTTTGTTTTGTTAACCTATCTTTACTTGTCATTGATCTCTTTGCAGTTCCCAAGGGTTAGGCCTGACCAGGGCATTGACACCTGGTATTTTCTTTACCACTCCCAAGGCTTAAGCCAGACCAGGGCCTGGATCCATTTTGTTAACTATTTCTCTCCGTCACCCACATCTCCCCCTTTCTGTTTTACAAAAAGACAGCTTTTATAGATTTATGATGTACTTTTGCCAAAGTTTCTATATTCTCCATTAACTGTTGTAGCAAACAAGGCACACAGATTAGCATACCTAAAAAGATTTAACAAAATAACCCAAACAAGGCACACAGATTAGGATACCTAAAAAGACTAACAAAATGATTAAGATAGGGGAAAGCCATCCTGTAATGCTCAAGCCAGAAAACGCTTTGTTCAACCAATTCAGTCCCTTATCTTCCTGAAGGTGTGCTGTCCTTGTTATTAAGTCCAGAATGCTTTTATGGATGATCTGATAGATTCATGCAGCACATACCATCAAAATCTTCACACCCATGGTCTTGAGCTAACAATAAAAATCAACAGCATTTCTGTTCCATAGTGAGGCGTGCCTCATAGAATCACTGTCTCAAAGCAACCCTGTTATCCAGTGGTACCCTTTCCAGGCTTAAATGTTCCCACTCTATTACTAGTGGCAGGAAAGTCCAGTTGTGATATGCGCGCGCACAGATGCGTTCTCCGTTGACTGGTTCTCCAAAAAGAGACTGGTTAACTTTGTACAGTTCCCACGGGTTAACTTCAAACCAGCAATGAATCGGGATCTATCTTCATTTGCAGCCGTTGTTTGTATGAATGGACGGGTACATCACGTGGGGATCCATCAGGCTCGTCGACCTGTGGAGAACACAAGCATAGCCTCTTCCCCAAGTTATTAACTTATAAGGACCTTCCCAGTTATGATTTTCCAAAGACATTATGGTTACTATAAAGGGTTCTTCCCCTGGTATCAGATCTGAGCCTACATGGGTTATTGCAGAAAAATGCCTAATCACTGGGGGGACATTTGTGCCCATCTGTAAATCATAACTGTATAATATAGAAAATTTAAGACAAACAATGCTTTATTGATTCATGCATTTGGGGTCTCCCCTGTCATTCCCCCATTTTTCTTTTACTAAAAGTTTGTTGCGTTTTGGTGGGTTTTTTTAACAATTTGGTGTGCCTTCTCTATCACTACTTGACCTCTGTAATTAACATAACCACCCACTACTCCAGGCAGCATTATTTCAGTAAGATTAGTCTGACTGGAAGTCACTTGAACCTTTATAACATGTGGCATACCCGTGAATCCTACACACCATATCACAGGTCAGAATAATGGGGGATTTAACAAATGTGCCAGGTATACACGGGCATTATGAATATCGCTAATGCAATAGTGAAAGTATATAAACCTGTAACAAACGTTAATCAGTGCACCCCTGGCTACCATCACACGCCCAGCGCTGTTGCTTTTGCTTTATTGACTTTGTCCCTCAATAAAACCCTGTTACCTCATTTAGAGGAGTGAGCTCCTATTTCACAGCACGCAGTCCACCTACAAAGCTCCAGAGCTCTGCTTTGTGTCCTTTGGATGCTTTCTCCTTAGAAAGCGCTGGCTGCTGCCATGTGCTGTTCATCGAGCTCCTGCCATGAAGGGTCTACATTGCCCCTGAGGTGGGCATTTGCTGTTGGTCTGGCACGGATGAGCCTTCCCAGCATGCATGCAGAGCTGAAGCCTTCCACAGGTACTCCGAGAGAGACCCTTCACCTGCGGGGACAGCCTCCGGCAGCACCAGCACCACATCCCTGCCCAGGAGAGCAGACAGAGCTTCAGGAGCTCCGGCAGCAGGTGGGGGAGGCTGTGCCGTTGTCTGAGCACGGGGGGAGCTGCCCTTGGTGATATAAGGAAAGCAAGTGCCTGGAAAACATAGGGTTAAAATACTTTTAAGTTAACTTAGTTCTAACATAGATAACAATGTTTGTGTTGTATGCCTGTGGTGTGATGACAGAATTCAGTAGTCTTGCTAACAAGAGTGAATTACTTCTTTCCATCCTTCTAATGAGTGAATTATTTCTTACCATCCTTCTAATTATCATTTAGATTGAAGACAGTGACTGCTGAACACCTGCCAGCTTAGGATATTCCTTGTCTGCTCATCCTGTTCTGCTTGCCATAAATTTTGTACAAAGGTCACACTGGTCTAAATCCTGGCCAGCAGTCAGAAACTTACAGATACGCTGGTTTCAGCTAATTTAGTGATTGCCGGGGCATCCCACTCTGCCAAAGGTGAAAAGTGCACCATGAGGAAGACCACTTACTGCATCTTGAAGACGACCATTGGAGGGCACTGCGCAAGCACCAAAAGGGAGGATACTTATCATAATGAGTTCTTAACGTAATTGTAATATCCCCACCAAACTCTTGGGAACCTAATGAAAATGCATGTTTGTTTGTAATACATATCTGCTTGCTTAAGCCCTCAGTGTGCAAGTTAGGAGGAGCATTCCTCCTTTCACCCAGCGCTGTAATAAACATACCTGCTTCATAACTCTTGAGTTATGGAGTTTGATTCCATGCTTCAGTTTTGCACCCCAGATGGGACAATCTCTGTCCGGCTGTGGGACCTGCTGAGGATGGGACTCTTCTGGGCACCCCCGAGATTTTCTGGGGGGACTCCCCCACTCACTCAGATCACCGCAGGGGCAGACAAGGACCATCACTAGTGAATCATCAGCTATGTTTGAACTAGGTCAAGGGTATGCCTGTAAGTTGTGAGGAGATGTCCTATGTGAGGTAAAGAGGGCAGGTGCTCACCCCAAGGGTTGGGTTGGGTTGCATTGGTTTTTTAGGGTATGGATACAAGGATCACTGTGCTAACGGCTTCACAAACCTTTGGTGGGTAAACACTGGCATAAAATTTATGTGTTACCAATTACTGGCTTAGACAACATTCCATGTGAAGTGGGTGATTGAGAGGCGGTCCTTTGTGTGAATGAGTGTTTTGTGTGAGTGAGACCTGCCATAGCTACGAAGCAAGTGTGGAGTCCTAATCCACAGTTCCGTGTTCACTGCAAGGAGAGTGGCCAGAGAGGGAGGAAACGTGTATGTCTCATGAAATTGAACCTATTGTTGAGTTTTGGTGTCCTATCCATCGTGATATTGTGTGTGATCCAGTTTTCATCTTTGAATGGTTTGTTTGTGAGGATAAAGTATCAGTGAAATTTAGTCAGGATTTTTGGTGTGTTAATTGCCTGGGAAATTGGTCTGATTGGCACTGGATTGAACGTTCGGGTGAGTTAGTACGAGTAGTTTGTGGAAACCTGGGAGAACTGAGGAACCAGTAGAGCAATATTGGGGTTAACTGTCAGAGTAGTGATCAAGCTCCCAGGCGCAGGGCTGGAACCAGCCCTTGCCCTATCTGTCATCGCTGTTGTTTGGATTTCCAAATACAAACAACAAAGTACAAATACAAAATAACAACAAATACAAATATTGTGTCCTGCTTGTTCAAAATATATTATCTCTTTTGGTGGTAGACAAGCGGTTTATTTACAGAACTGTTTGGAATTAGGGTGTATCCGTTGTGGGTGCAGCACTCCATTATACCTTTTACTGTGGCTAAGATATTATTGTTGTAGGGCTAACCGTGTCGTATATCTTTAAAGGCTTACAATGGGAGGACAGCAGAGTGGGGGAATTCTCAAAAGAGCCCTTTAGGTTGCATTTTAACTCATTAGAAAGATACAGGTGGTCCACCGGGAGGAAGTGTGAATAAAAAAACCTTGATTAAATATTGTAATCAGTGGTGGCCTTCATATAAATTGGAAGATGGGGAAAAGTGGCCCTTCAATGGAATTTTGAATTATAATACCTTATTACAATTAATATTATTTTTGAGATGAGAAGGAAAATGGGATGAAGTTTCATATGCTGAGATGTCCTTTACCCTCCAGAACCGTCCTGAATGGCAGACGGAATGTGGGCTGGAGGCTCCGCAATACCAATGGTGTTGGCTCTGGAGATGGGTAATAGGAAGGAAGGAAAAGAGAAGTTAAAGAAAGAGATGTTGATCGGCACGTAGTATAGAGCAGAGATGTACCAGACTGGGAAAGGCAGGGGACCCTGGAGGGGGGATTTACCAGAATATTATAAATGTGAATTACAAACTCACTCCTCTAAACAAGATAACAAGGTTTTATTGAGGGACAAAGTCAATAAAGCAAAAGCAACAGCACTGGGCGCATGACCGTAGCCAGAGGCGCAAGTGATTAGTATTTGTTATGGGTTTATATACTTTCGCTACTGCATTAGCCATATACATATTCATAATGCCTGCGTATAGGCGGGGAATATTATAACTAGCTCCAGGAACTTATTATCCTAAGTCTCCTCCTCTTGGTGTCTGCACACTGCTCTGCAATGATTGTGGGCAGGGGTCTTGATGGTGAAGTAAGCAGTCTTCCTCTTGTGAGTAGGGGTCTTCAGGATGCAGTAAGCAGTGTTCCTCACAGTGCACTTTTCACCTTTGGCACAGTTGGACGTCCCAGGAATCACACAACTACCTGAAACCAGCCATATCTGTGATTCTTCTGATAGCTACCAAGGATTTAAAACAGTGTGACCTTCCTGCAAAATTTATTGCAGGATGGGCAGACAAGGAGTATCCCAAGCTAGCAGAGGTTTGGGAGGCTCTGTCTCTAAACTAACTGGTAAGTAGAAGGATGGTGTGAAATAACTCATTTATATTTAGTGGGGCTACTAAATCCTGTTATTTCGCCACAGACTTATAACACAAACATTGTTCTTTAAAGATAAAGATACTTTAGAAGACTAGTGTGAAACAATTAACTCATGTTAAGTGGGGCCACTACATTCCACAGACTTACAACATAAACATTGTTCTCTTTCTACGACCTAAGTTAAACTAAAAAGTACTTCAACTCTCTGTTGAAGCCGTAGGACGGCACCATCGCCACCGGCAGCCCAGCGCCGCCACCTTCCTCCGGCCTTGGAGGCGAAGGCAGCGCCCGCCGTTGGTCGCTGCCGTCACGGGGCAGCGCCCCCTGGTGCGCCGGTCCAGCCGCTGAGGGCGGGCCTGGCCGGGCCGCAGGGAGCGGGGCCTGACCCGGTAGGGCTTGGCCCGGAAGCCCGCCCACCGCGGCCGCGTGAGCTTCCCTGGCAGGGGGTGCTGCGGGGCCCTTTGCTCTCCTCTGCACGCCTCCTGGAGCCGGGGTGCCTGCTCGGCGCGGAGCCGCTAGCTCCCGAGCCGCGCCGCTGGTAGCGGTCGGTGAAAGGCCAGCTCGCCTGACCCTCTTCGTTTCTTTCCCCGGAGCAGGCCCCCGGAGCGGAGCCGGAGATGCTCATGCACATGGATCAGAAGGAGGAACTGCGGTTGTCCCGGCCCCGCTCCTGCGAAGGGAAGAGTGCTCTGAGCGGCACCTCAGGTAAGGGCCATGAGTGTGAACCCGTCATGAGAAAGAGTGCTGCGGGAGCACCAGCGCCCCCAGAATGTACAAGGGCGGCGGTGCTGGGTTGGAGCAGGGCCTGTCCAGCTTCACCTGCTGCCTGTGACAACGGTATTCATAGCACCACAGGCCACCAGGCTGGGAGGGATCTCAAGGATCATCCAGTACAACTTTTCCAGGCAAAGCATGACCTGGACTGGATGTCCCAGTGCCCTGTCCAGCTGAGTCTTTAAAGCATCCAACAGTGGGGAGTGCACCTTTTCCCTGGGGAGATTATTGCAATGGCTGGGTGTTCTCACTGGGAAAAGTGATGTGTCCCTGTATCCTTTCACAGGCCTGAGGCATCTGTGGCTTCAGAAGCTCCTGAACTAGGCACATAACGTCTCAAGATCTCTCTTCTTGCCTTCTCAAGCTGCGCACATTGTAGCATCCATGGCAGCTTGCAGCAAGGAGTTCCCCAGCTTATTTAGGTGATTTATGAATTGCTGCCTCCTTTAGTTTGCTTTGAAAGTGCCTTTTACTGCTGGCAGGAGTTCTTAATTTAGAACAGATGGTGCAGGATAGATGCCAAACCCCCCCACAGGCCACTTGTGTTTTTACAGTCCTCTGTGATACCCCTATCAGCTGTACCTTTTCCCAGCAGAATGGGCAGTTGACTCCTCTCCTATACAGGATCTGTTCTGTGCCTCTGATGGTTCCTGTCATGCCTCTGTCTTCCTCAGCTCTGTCAGAGTGTCTCTGACATGGGGGATCCGTCCTCCCCCTTGCACACAGTCAGAATGTGGGGTTTGAGCTGCAAGGCAGAATTACCTTCTCTTCCCTATTGTTTTCCCCCCAGCACTCATTGATGCTTGACTGGCTGTGTTGTGTGCCTAGGAGCTGCAGTTTTCATCCAGCTGCTCAGACTCCAAGGTGCTATTCCTGAATGATATCAAGAACATCCTAGGCCCAGCCTGGTGTAAGTGCATGCTGTAGAGGCTGTTCTCCTCTGAAGGTCTTTGTTTAGCTGCAGTGACCGTCCCCTGTCACCTGGTTGGTCAGTATCTCAAGGCTCTGCCACGGTTTGTAGTCAGCCTGTGTGTTTTTAGCCCTGAGGAACACAAAATCGTCAGCAAATGTTTCCACCTCCCTTTTCCCTTCCTTTCCACCCTGTCAGGTTCATTCATGCCTCAGCAGCTTAGCTTCTTTACCAGTTTTGGTGAAGGATGAATGTCTTTCGGGAATGCTTCTGGACCCCATATATCCCTTTTCTCTGCTTACCTGGATCTTGCCTTGTAGCTATAGCACTGGCAGTCTTGGGCATATCAGAGGTCTTGCCATCAACCTAAATTGGCATGGGCTGAGGAAGAACCACATTCTTCATGTCTCTCTTGCTTATTCATTTTTGCCAGTTCAGCCTTATGCTTCTAATATTAAATCCTCATCATTGTGACCTTGCTCTTCTTCCACTTGAAATACTTGCAGTAAGCTCCTGTTTTGGTTTTGATCAAACCTTTTAGCGACAGCATGTCCTAGATGCCAGTGAAAGTACATAGTAGCTGAGAAGTAACAGAAATGATTGTAGAAGCGCTAGAGCCATGACAATAATTGTAAAAAGAATCTTGACACTCCTGATCTTCCCCCAAAAGTACAGAACACCATAGAAAACTTAATTGTCATGTACTTCTGAAGGCTTTTTCAAGGTCTGTGTAAAGAACCAAACTTCTGTGTAAGTGCCAAAGTTAGCATCTCTTTGGGCACAACGGCAACAGAACAACTTTGCTAGCTCCACTGTCTACTCAGTAAGTCTGACGAACAGGTCAATAGCTTTATGCTGTCCTGCCAGAAACATCTTCTTTCCATCCTGTCTGTGGCTATCACCTTGCTCTTTTCCTCCAGGCCTGGCTGGAGTAGCTACAGGCAAATGGAAATACCTTCATGGTAAACAGTAAAATTGCAGTTTCTGTTCCTCTCAAGGGATGGTTTTAATGAAAACCATGTGAGGTAAGAAATGGCATCACTACCACAGCAAGTTGCCACAGAAGGTATCTTAGGAGTTCACTGTGAAATCATATTGTGATGTTTTCTTTTGCTTCCTTGTAAGAGGATAATGAAATATGTACATATATCAGTCTGTGGTCGAACTTCTAGACTCTTCTTCCTTTATTGCACTGGCTGCCCAGAGGAGCTGTGGCTGCCCCATCCCTGGCAGTGTTCAAGGCCAGGTTGGAAGGGGCTTGCAGCAATCTGGTCTTGTGCAAGGTGTCCCTGCACGTGGCAGGAGGCTTGAACTGGATGTGATCTCTAAGGTCCATTCCAGCTAAAACTATCCTGTGGTTTTATGATTTTCAGGTACAACATCCTGGAAGAGCTAGCATCTTTCCCATTCAAGCAGTAAACTTTTGCCTCCAATACGCCAGTGATTTCACTAGACTCAGGTCACGTGAAGCATGCTGGGTGATTTACAGCATTTGATCCTGGGAACACTCTGAAAATTCCACGGTGTAGTTTGGAGGGAAATACCATGTCCTGAACGCAGGATATACCAGAATGTTTTATACTTAAAGTCAATCTATCTGCTGAATTTTTAGCATTTGGCCACTTGGGATTTGCCCTGTCCAAAGCTTCCAGTCCTGCCTGTGACTTCTCTTGATTCTCATTTTATTGCAGCTGAAGATGGGATTGTGAGCACAAATGAAGAGAATGACCATCAAGGCATCCCCAGGCCAGTGGAGTCCAAGGATTTATGTTCAGTACTCTCTGAGGAGAACAGTTCCCGGAGTCCTGCACAGAACCCTGTTCTCCCACGCAGGTCAGAAAGGATTCAGCGATCTCTGGGGAAGAGGCAAAACCAAGTGACACTGTGTGGAAAAAGCTTCAGGAGGCTGCCGGATGTTATCCAGCAGAGAAACCCTTCCATGGGGAGACTGACGATAGATGGGGACTGTGGGAAGAGCATCCAGCATCAGAGAATCCACACCGGCGAAAAAGCGTTGACCTGCTCCGAATGCGGGGAGAGTTTCCAGTACCGGTCATATCTCATCCTTCACCAGAGGATCCACACAGGGGAGCGGCCCTACGAGTGCTCCGAGTGCAGGAAGAGCTTCAGAGAGACCTCGAAGCTGATCCGGCACCAGGTAACCCACACTGGGGAGAAGCCCTACAAGTGTGCTGAGTGTGGGAAGAGCTTCTCCGAGAACTCAAAGCTCGTCCAGCACCAGTGGGTGCACACTGGGGAAAAACCGTACGAATGCAGGACCTGCGGGAAGAGCTTCTGCGTGAGTTCAAGTCTTATCCGGCACCAGGTAACCCACACCAGGGAGAATCCCCACAAGTGTGCTGAGTGCGGGAAGAGCTTCTCTGAGTACTTGAACCTTGTCCAGCACCAGTGGGTGCACACTGCGAAGAAACCCGATGAGTGTAGGACCTGTGGGACGACCTTCAGCTCGACTTCAGCCCTGAGACGACACCAACGGATCCACACTGGGGACAAACCCTATGGGTGTATGGATTGTGGGAAGAGCTTCGGCCACAGCTCCACGCTCATGAAACACCGGCTGATCCACACTGGGGAGAGACCCTACATCTGCACGTACTGCGGGGACAGCTTTCGGCAGAGTGCCCACCTCATCCGGCACCAACGCATCCACACCGGGGAGCGTCCCTACGTCTGTGCTGAGTGCGGAAAGGGCTTCAGAGTGAGCTCAACGCTCTTCCGGCACCAGCAGATCCACAAGGATTGGGGAGCCCTAGGTGGGGTGAGTGTGGGGAGCAGTGGGGTCTGATACCCTGTGAGCAAACCCTGGTGTCTCCCCCTCCCTTTGACCATCCTGCTTGTGGAGGGCAGAAGCAGTTTCTTCCTAGGAGAGTGAGCCCTCAGAGATGAAGAAGGGGAGAGCTGGTGGAGGGAGCTGATTGGAGGTTTTGGGGCAGGTGCCAGGAGGAAGGTGCCCAACTCCTTTCAGTGGTGGGCAGCCCCAGGATGAGGAGCAGTGGCCATGAACTGAAACAGAAGAGGTTTGACCTCCACACAAGGAAGAACTTGTTCCGTTGCAGTGGCAGAGCACTGAGCAGGCTGCGCATCATATGCTCCATCTCTGGGCATATCCAAGCCCTGCCTGGACATGTTCGGGTGCCCCTGCCCCAGCAGGGCTGGAACTGGGTCACCTCCAGGGTCAGCTCCCATGGCTGGTGCCGCTCACAATGACCCTGCGCAATAGGTGTTTGTTGAGCTCCGCCACGTTGTCTTCCCCGACTGTGTGTGGGTTCATGCCGTGTAATACTTACTCTGTGAGGCCCCATTTCCAGCCCCAACAACCTCCCCAGGGGAGGAGGAGAAGGTGTGAAGCTCTTCTTATGTGAGTGCCAGGTTACCTTTGTGATGGCTCTTCAAGCTGCTAGGACTGTGGTTCTGGGGTTTGTCTCCACTGCAGTTATGCTTGGGTAGGTTATGCTTCAGTAGGTGCAGCCACGTTCTGCTGCTTGTTAAAGCAAGGATGCACGTTCTGCATGTAGGGAAATAGCCTGAAGTTTTAAACTGATTGAACAGCAAACTTGAACTCTCTATCACCTGGGTGTTTGCAGATTACTGACCTTCTCTCAAGGGTGCCAAAGCAAAGCCAGGGCTTCAGTCCTGTTTCCCTGCCACAGCAGTTTCTACTTTGTTCAAAAGGCACTGGATTGTTGGGATTAAGTGTCTTCCTACCCTGAGAAGGATGGCTGTGCATCTTGAGTGTGAAACTTACTGTGGAAATGTGTCAGGGGCAAACTAAGTGCTGGCTAGATGAGATAGGGATGTTTTCTCAGAGGGTTTGAACACTGTTTTTGGGAAATAAATGTCTGGAGTGCTGAGATGTTTTGTACCAAGCCTTGTCTCCAGTCTCAAGCCCCACTGTCCTGCCTCTTGTAGCTGTTGAATTCCTCCCAGGAGGCTACTGGTAGGGCACCAGGAAGGTATGTGTTTACCCTGAACATTCAGCCAGGTTTTGATGAGCAGAGCTCATGCACCAAATGAAATGACATTCCAGCCTCTGCAGTGGAAGTGGGCAGCTGCTCGAGCCTCCTTCTTGTTGATGATTCAAAGAGACCTCCAGGAACTCGCCAACAATGTTTTCAAGCTGACAAGCAGGTATTCTTTATTGCAGCACAGGGAGACACGGGGGATAGCTCCTCCAAGCGTCTCTCTGGTGAGCATCAACCAGGCTGTGATTATATTGTCCTTAAACATACATGTTCCTTAGATTACATACATTACATCATACTTCTTGAGAATGCCTCCTGTATGCCTACAAAAATGTGGTAGTGGGGTTTTGGACCCCTGGTGGTTATTTCTTCATCCCATTGTTTTAGGATCGTTGTCTTATCAGTCATACCTGCATTCCTGCAGAACCCCCAAGGCTGAGAAACCCCACCCTGTTTCTTGTAGGAATATAGCCAAAAGTGTTTAGTTATGTCCAGGATCCCCAGAGCTAGAGCACTCATGAGTTCTGTCTTTAAACTTTTAAACGTTTCTTCAGCTTGATCTGTCCATTTTATAAAGATTGAATTTTCTTTTAGCAGCTCATATAAGGGTCTAACCAGAACACCACAATCATGGATCCAGGGCTGACACCATCCTGTCATTCCCAGAAATGTCCGAATATCTTTAACTGTGGAAGGTCACGGTGTTTGAGAGATTGCTTCCTTCCAAGCTGCTCCAAGTTCTGGTTGTCTTCCTGTTAATTTTGCATCCTAAATAAGATACTCGAGTTTGAATTAGTTGAGCCTTCGATTTAGATACCGGGTATCCATTTAGCCCCAGAAAGTTTAACAATTTGACAGTCCCCTGAACACATTTTCTCTCAGTTTTGGTAGCAATTAACAGGTCGTCCACATACTGTAGTGAAGTTCCTGTCTAGGTGGGTGCTTCCCAGGATTCTAATTCTCGTGCCAATTGATTTCCCAAAGTGTTGGACTGTTTTTAAATCCCTGAGGTAACACTGTCCAAGTGAGCTGTGTCCTTCTTCCTGTTTCAGGGTTTTCCCATTCAAAAGCAAATAAATTCTGACTTTCTTTGGCCAGGGGAAGACAGGAAAATGCATCCTTTAAGTCCAGAACAGTAAACAACTCCTGATTAGTATTCAATTTAGATTAGCTACTACTGGATGAATATCCTGCACAATTTTGTTGATTGCTCTGAGATCTTGAACTAATCTCTAACTTTTTCTATTGGATTTCTTTACTGGCAAGATAGGGGTATTATATTCTGATTCACATTCAATTAATAATCCATATTTTTTTTAATGATTTCTTTGATTCCCTTTTGATCCTCCAATTTTAAGGGATATTGTTTAGCTGGGCATCCCCCCTTTTATTTCCACTTTAACAGGCAAAGCATTTTTCAACTTGCCTGGAACTTCAGATGCCCATACTCCCAGATATACCTGATTAAGGATTTCTTCTATTTCAGGGAGGTCCTCCTGTTTGCTTTTCTGTTGAATTAAAGATAAACCCAAAACTCCAATTAATTGATTGGTTTTGACTCTTAATTCCATTTTGCCTTCTTTAAATGTTGCTTCTTGCCCTAATAAAGATTTTCAGAGAATTTGGCACGCATAAAAATTTATGCATGTCTATTTGTTTTCCCAGTTTATACTCTAAAGCTTTCAGAAAGAATGTGGGTTGGTTTTTTGAGGTTGTTTTTTTTGTGCTTGTTGTTTTATGTTGTTTTGGGTTTTTGGTGACCAGTGTCTCCCACATCTGTAACAAATTCTTTTCCTCTGATTTAACGTCTAAAAGGTTGCTCCTGTATTCACTTAAAAATTCCACTTTATTTCCTCTAGTCCCTAGTTTTAATTTAGTGTGTGGATCTGCTAGGGTAGATTCCCTAGGTGCCTGCCAGTCTAGTTCCAATTCAGTCACCAGAGCCACACCATGGAGCTTCCCCCAGGGCGGTCTCACTTACAATGGCCAAAGTCCTTACAGTATGCACACTGGTTCCATCCCACAGGAGAATTCTTTCTCTCACCTCTGCCTGACATTCCTCCTCTACCTCTGCCTCGTCCTCTTGCATTAGTTCCTCCACCAGTTTCTACTTGTCCCAAAGCAGCCACTGTAGCCATGCTTATAGCACAAGTCAGCTCTCTCTTCTCTATCTGTTCCCGATTCCTGTACACTCTCCATGCTTTTTTAACATTCTCACATCCTCCTGCTCTGTTGCCAGTGACAGCAACCTCTTCCTCCTTATCAATAACAGATGGGGCAAGTGCCGAGAGTGCTCCTCTCGGAGGTACCTGTGATACGTAATCCCCCAACCTATCTTCCCGATTACTCTGTCTTGTTTCTGTTTTCTTTTTTTTTAACTTTAAACATCATTCCCCCAATATCCCAGGCTGAACAACATCTCTCCAGCTTAGCTTTCTGTTTTCCCCGTCCTTTTCTAAAGCCAAAATTAGGGATCTGGCAGAGCTATATTAATTTCACATTCTGTCTGCCACTCTGGGTGGTTTCTTAACGTAAAAAACATATCTGCATACATCACTTCATCCCATTTTCCTTGTTGCCTTAAAAATAACGTTAATTGCAACAATGTTTTATAATTCAGAGTTCTGTTTTTTGGCCATTTCTCCTGATCCTCCAGGGTATACAACGGCCACCATCGGTTACAATATTTCATCAGTATTTTCTTATTTACTGAGCCCCCAGGAAACCCTCCCAGTTCTTTCCAGTGTGCCAAAATGCACCCTAAAGGACTCTTTTTCAAGATCTCTTCACTCTGCAGATTTCCCATTATCAATCTTGCATTCACACACACACACACACACGCACGATCCCACAGGCAAACTCCACACAGTTACAACACTTGAGACAGAGACTAAAATTGTATCGAACAGCAACAATTAACAGTTATAACATCCTGCCACCAATACCAAAATCACAAGACCAATATCATCACTGTAACAAGCCACAAAACAGACACACTCCACACAGTTACAACATTTGAAACAGATAACAATTAGTAATGCAGTTATAACAGCCTCTCACCAATACCAAAATCACAAGACCAAAATCATAACTATAAGAAGCCACAATATAAGTCAAATACCAGTAAAATCCATAAACCGTTCCCACAAGACACCCACTGCGTCTTGTAGGACCCAAACCACAAGATGTCCCCTGCTTCTTGTGGGTGCATACCAAACGGAAGCTAGCAGCCATGTATATGCCTTTATCTGTGAGATTTCCTATCTCGATTTACAGAAGGCTTCCAAACCTTGCGTACGCTCACCAACCCTACCCAATTACCAATTTAGTCTTTATGCAAGATGCCCCCTGCACCTTACAGACTATACAAAAGAAAAGAATACCCTTTATGAAGATGGTCCTTGTCTGCTCCCACAGTGATCCAAATGAGTCAAGGGGTCCTTCCAGGAAAAACCCCTGAAGGCCCTAGGGAGCCCTGTCCTCAGTGGGTCTTGCAGCCGAGCACAGAGGGTCACATCTGAGGTGCGATATTGATTCGGAAAAACCTCCAGGAACTTCCCAACAAAGTTTTCAACCTGACAAGCAGGTATTTTTATTGCGGCACCGGGAGACACGAGGGATAGCTCCTCCAAGTGTGTCTCTACCAAGCATCAACCAGGCTGTGATTATATTGTCCTTAAACATGCATATTCCTTAGATTACATACATTACATCATACTTTGAGAGAATGCCTCCTGTATGCCTACAAAATGTGGTACTGTGGTTTCAGACTCCTGGTGGTTATTTCTTCATCACTTTCTTTTAGGATCCTTGTCATATCAGTCATCAGTAACCACCAGGCGGTTCTGGCAAAGCTTATCTTAATAATTTCCTTTTCTCTATAGTTGCTAATAAAGCCTCATATCTGTAAGGTTACTTGTTTACAACCCTATTCTTCAATCAACCCCATTCTTCAGTGAGTAGGACACGGCCTCTTCCAGGGGAGCAAAACCATGAGAAATGAGGGCCCTGAGCAGTGACCATGTTGTGGGCTTTCAGCTACCAGTTTCTGAATAAAAGGGATGTGTAATGGTAAGGGATACCGTGATTTTTACTACGCTTCCTCTGAGTTCTCATGTGATACCCTAGTACTGAAAAGGACAGGGGTTTGATTTGTGCTGACTTGTCTCCTGAATTCATGGCTCATCATGTCTATGCTGGATGGCACTGGGAAAAATCTCAGCTTCCATGTTGTCCTGTGTATGTAGTGTCCTCACCTTGGGCTGAAGGGACTGGTGGTGTCACTGTCCTGGCTATCACTGTAGAGGTGATCATGTCAGATGGAGGATCTGCAAAAACAGTTGTGGGAGATACAAGTCTGACTGCACCAAAGTTCTTAAATGACTGTTTGTGTGCTAACCCCTTCTTCCAGCAGCAGACACTGCTGCTGGAAAAGTAATTCACAGCTCTGAATTGTGCTTCTGCAACGGTTGTTACACCTTTGGGTAAATGCTTCTGAGAGCCCAGCAGATACCCCATGGCATCTACCTGCAGGACTCTGCCTGTCTCGAAGTATAAGATAAATTGGAACCACTTTCTCTAGTTTACTTTTGGGATCTGCATTTCTTGAGGAGTGCCTGACTTGAAGCCAGCTGCGCAGGAAGCCAGGATGCTGCCAGGACTTGTGCAGCTGTGCTGGCAGGAGGCTGGCTGTGCTGTGAGGCAGGCAGGCTGTTCCTCTGGGCCCACAACCAGCTCCTGGCTCAGCCTGGGCAGGTTCTGCCTCTGTGCTTCAGTTTCCCTTCCCCATGGTGGATGTTTGGAGCTGTGACAAGTTTGCAGAACTGGTGTGGTGCTTGCTGTCCAGTGAGCCAGAGGGCAGTTAATGTATAGCTGGGGTGCTCCATGTGAGCTGGGAGCCAGCAGTTGGTGTGCTGGTGCTGGCCCTGTGCTGAGGTTGGTGAACTTGCAGCTGCCTGCCTGCTCTTCTAGCCCTGAGGGGGCTGACCTCAAATGGGAGAGTGTGAGGGCTGGCTCTCTTACAGTGAGTGCTTTCCAAGAGCCAGGAAGCAGCTTAGTTCCTTGTTGATCTGGCAAGGCTGCCTGTAAGGTGATGGTGCTGCTCTGCACAAAGCTGATTACAGGTCTATTTTGTAAATGAGGTGGGTGGATTTCTGCTGAAGAGGAAACTGGGCTATAAGCCCGGTGTCTCACTCCTGCTTCTGGGTAGGTCTTTGGGTGTCCTGCTACATCCATGGAGATTTTTTTGTTTGTTTCCTTTTGCAGAAGAGGAGGGAGAACTCAGTTACTTCTGGGGTTTGAAGTAAACCCTGCTAGGCAGGAGAGGAGAGTGTGAGTGGTAGCAGGAGCCATCTGCAGCATCCATTCTGACTCCTCACATGCAGCACAGCCCAGAAAAGGCAGAGCAGTGAAATCTGTCCCTGCTTTGGAAGTTCCTCTGTGTATACTCCATTGCAGTGAAGGTGTTTGTCTCGCTGTGAGCTGCCTGACTCCTGCCCTAATTCACCACTGCTTTCCTCTAGGGAAAGCTCTGTACCACTGTGCAAAAGAAGTATCTCTGCTCAGAGTCTGGCATTGGATGAAATGTTTGGTAGCACCAGTGGAAAGCAGCTTGCTCACAATTTTGGTCCAGATAGCTAATGTGGAGGTCTCTGATCATTTTCAGTCAGGAGCCATCCTGAAGTGGGAAACCAAATGCTGTGTGCTGTGTTGTAGGTCTCCTCTGAGGCTAACATTTGGTGAGCTGGGTGCTGTTAGTGCTGAGGTTCACTGGGGTAATTGAACTGAACAAACAAGATTGCTTCCTTGAAAGTGCCTGCTGTGCTGTGGAAATGGCCAGTGGCTGCTCCTCACCACCGTGCCTGGTGGAGCAGCTCAGAGGCTGCTTGCTGTATGGCTCAGCATTTCAGACCCGTCCCTTCATGAAGGCAGCTTCCCTCTAAAACCCCTCTCTGGTTTTGCCTTTCAGGTTGTCTCATCTCCAGCACTAACCAGCAATACCACCTGCAATGGAGAGCGCAGAGAGGCGAGAAAGGGAGATGTTGCTCTATGGGGAAACATCAGCTGATAATGTCAGATGAGTCCTGTCACACAATGTGGAACAGACAGTATTGGGTAAGGCACGGGACCTTCCAGCTCAAGGGGTGTGATGTTTCTCCTCATTAGAAAAGGGGTGGGGGACTCCAACAGCTGATTAATCAAATATATATGTGCAGTAAATCTGTTTAATCAAAGTGTACCAGCAGTGATGGAAAGGAGCAATCTGGCTAAAGCTGGCAGCAAGCTGTTGGTGTTTTTTAGTCTCTCCTATTACTTGCCGTTCAGAAATGCTTTGACCATTTGGCAGTTGTGTTTGTGCCTTCCTGGCCAAGGCGAGCCAGTTTTCCATGATTTGCTGGGCAGACTCATGTGATGGCAGCTTCTCAGTTAGAAAGATGAACCTTGAGGTGAACTATGCTCCAGTGAGCTGCCTCTCTTGCCTTTGCAGAATGCCCACCGGCTTAGGCAAGACTGTTGTCTTGGAGGTTAGTTTAAACAATGAATTCACACACACGCTCTGAAAATCGAGGCTTCAGACTTGGGAAGAGTGAGCAGGGTGCTTCCCAGGATACCTAGGTATTCTGTGCTGGTTGACTTCAGTTTCATGCTGCCTGGCTGCATGCCCACTCGGTCAGCCTGGAGTGTGTCTCTTGCAGCAATATGTTGCAGACTAGTCAGAAAACCTGGTCAGTGTCATTTCCAAAGTTGACTTATCTTAGGCTGTAAACTGTCTGGGACTCTTGGGGAAGTCTTGGACCCTAAACTGTCATCTTTTATGTATTTATTTTCACAGCGTCTTCTGACTTTTGTCATTCTTGCAGTTCTGAGTCTGCAGAGTCTTACTGAACAAAGTGGACTCAAGACCTCAAAATAAGAAGCTGAATTTCTAAAAGTATTTATATATTTGGAACACGTCAATATTTTTATTTTTGATACCATATATCTTTGAGTTTATTTGATTTATATGGCATACAATAAACAATGTGTAAGATACTAATGATAAATTATAAGTAATGTCTTATGACAGGTCGGGGGTGCATTCTAAGCAGCAAAACTGGGTCTAGTGGAGAGCAGTAGAGTCTGTGCCTCTACTAACTGAAACCCCAGTCAGAGAACTGGAGGGAGACGAGTTGACATGGACACCCTGCAGGGAGGAGAGGTGGGAGAGATCAGTCAGGGAGAGAGCCCAGTTCATGTAGGCTGTGCAGCGCCAAGGTAAGAGAGAACTAGGGAAAAGGGGGGGTATCTGCTGGGAGAATGGGCTGTGGGAAGGGTCTGGTCTGGCCTCAGAGGGAGGGCTCCTGGTGGGGGGAAAGGGGTGGCCACTGATGAAGCTCTTCTCTGTCAGGTCTATTGCAGGTATAGTGTGTGTATGGGAACATCCTAGCAAAGCCTTCTGCCACGTGCTGAATTGTCAGGAACTTGGCATAGTTTTCTTGCCTGGCTTTCACATCGCTTTTCCTCACCCGCCTTCTTGTGCAAGAGCCAACTTTGTTATGTGAAAAGGACAGGGCTCGCCTTAATTGACATTCTAGTAAATGTTGTTACCCTCAGTGTACCGTGTATTTCTCTCTCAAATACACACTTTATCCCTGAAAAAACTTCAGTCCTACTCACCAGTCTTAATACGGGAAAATAAGTAAGATCCCTTCCCAGCTTTTTAACTCTCTTTTAGGTACAACTTGCATTTACAATCAAAGCTTTTGTAATCAATTATTACATCTTCAGTTAATGCGGTGTCACAGTTCAGTGGATGTAAATTGCAGTCATTCAAATAACACTGTGTCATAAAAAATGTTTAGTATGTTATGAAAAAACGGTGAATTTTTGGCACTGAAAGTGTCTCCATCCTCCTGTCTTTGTCATCCTTAAAGCTTGCACCAGGGCAGTCTCTGCCTAATGCAGAAAGATGACTTAAATACCACACCTGTGCTGTCACGGTTAGGAGGTAACTGCTTTGCGGGGGCTTGGCTCGGTGCTTCCTTGTTGCTGCCATTGACAAACTGAGATGTCTCTTGTAATTCTGAAACTTTCCTCAGATGATGAGAAAAGGATTAAAAATCCTTTACGGCCTTAAGACCACCTCCGTAATCAAAGGCAGCCTTCCCAAGCTTGCACTGGGGTTGCCATGTGCCAGTGATGTCGTATTGCCAGCCAGTTATGTTTGTATACATTCATGTGTTTTCTTGCCTTCCTAATGCAGGCTCATTTGTCTTGGAAAATGCATTGCTTTCATTTTTATTTCCAGTGGGTAGTAACAGCTATCAGAAATATTTTGATACTTCTGTTTAACACTTCCAAGGCTGCAGAAGAAGCAAACCAAACCCAACTTTTCAACTAAGGTACTGATTTGCTTTTTAAGCGAAAGAAAGGAGCAGGTATGTTACTGGCATTGTACAAATCTTGTCTTGCCAATATACACCATGTGAGCCCTGAGTGACCTTTGGAACACACTGCTTATAAATTCACTGTGACAGTGAAATGATCAGTGGCACTATGGGTCATCCTTTGCAGCTACCACCGCGTTCATTTGTGTGCTGCCTGAAAACATAGCCTGTATAGGTTTATTCTGAAAAGCTGTGCTGCAGATGTTTACGTACCTTCTCGCATGGAGGGGCTGGTGTATCTACACCATAGAGGTATGCTGTAAAGCAGAGTTGTGACTTATGCGCCTTTCCTTTCTACCAGATTACACTTGGAGTGGCAGCTTTTAGGTATCAAAGGGGTAAATCCAAGAGCAATCCTTTCTGTGCTTCTTCAAGGGGACTGGAGCTGCTCTGGAAGTGCCTTTCCAATGTGCCTGTATGGTTTTAGTATCATTCCCACATAAAATTCCTTTCAGAGGCATTGCATATATGCTGCTCATTGTGGAATGGAATACAAAGCACATGGGAGAGGTGATGCAGCCTTGAACAAAACCACGTTTGAGCCGCTGTCCACCTGAACAGGGGTTCAGAGGTACCAGCAGTGTTTCTCTGCTGAGGTTCCCTCCCTCTCCAGGTGCCCCGATGCAGTCTTGTAATCTTAGATGGCTCAGGAATGCTCTCTCCCTATGGATTTAAGTGATTGCTGAGGGTTTAAGTTCGTGCCTAAGCTCAACCTTCATCCACTCTTGGGACCTGGGAGACTCCAGCAGCCTGGCAGTGCCCTGTCGGGGTCCCCATCTCTTGGAAGGGCAGGCAGTCCACCTACAAAGCTCCAGAGCTCTGCTTTGTTTCCTCTGGATGCTTTCTCCTTAGAAAGCACTGGCTGCTGCCATGTCTTGTTCATCGACCTCCTGCCATGAAGGGTCTACATTGCCCCTGTGGTGGGCATTTGCTGTTGGTCTGGCACGGATGAGCCTTCCCAGCACACACGCAGAGCTGAAGCCTTCCACAGGTACCCCGAGAGAGACCCTTCGCCTGCAGGGACAGCCTCTGGCAGCACCGGCACCACATCCCACACTGGACACCCTGCCCAGGAGAGCAGACAGAGCTTCAGGAGCTCCGGCAGCAGGTGGTGGAGGCCGCGCCGTTGTCCGAGCACGGGGGGAGCTGACCTTGGTGATATAAGGAAAGCAAGTGCCTGGAAAACATAGGGTTAAAATACTTTTAAGTTAACTTAGGTCTAAGATAGAGAACGTTTGTATTGTAAGCCTGTGGTGTGATAACACAAGTTAGTAGTCTTGCTAACAAGAGTGAATTACTTTTTTGATGTTAAATCAGAGGAAAAGAATTTGTTACAGATGTGAGAGCTACTGGCCATGAAGGAAAAGAGAAAGAAAAAAAAAAAAAGAGACTTTCTTTCTGAAACCTTTAAAGTACAAATTGGGAAAACAAATAGGAATGCAGAAATTTTTATGCATGCCAAATTATTCAAAATCTTTATTAGAGCAAGAAGCAACATTTAAAGAAGGTAAGATGGAATTTAGAGTTAAAAACAATTAATTGCAGTTTCGAGTTTATCTTTAATTCAGCAAAAAGCAAACAGGAGGAGCCCCCTGAAATAGAAGAAAACCTGAATCAGGTATATTTGGGAGTATGGGCATCTGAAGTTCCAGGTAAGGCGAAAAATGCTTTGCCTGTTAAAGTGGAAATAAAAAGGGGGGGGAGGGGTTGCCCAATTAGAATAAAACAATATCCCTTAAAATTAGAAGATCAAAGGGAATCAAAAAATCATTGATAAAACTTAAAGTATAGATTACTAACTGAATGTGAATTGGAATATAATACTCCTATCTGGACAGTAAAGAAATGTGGTGGGAAAAGTTCAGATTGGCTCAAGATCTCAGAGCAATCAACAAAATTGCAGAGGATATTTGTCCAGTAGTAGCTAATTCATATGACTGATTGACTAAATTGAATAATGATCAGAAATGGTGGGCTGTCTTGGATTTAAAGGACGCTTTCTTTTGCTTACCATTGGCCAATTATTATGGTGTTCTGGTAAGACCACTCTATGAACTGTTGAAAGGAAACCCTCCCTCTTTGGAGTGGACTGATTCAGCAGAGGGGGCTTTTAGAAATTCAAAACCAGAGCTAATGAGATCTCCAGCTCTGGGACTTGCAGATGTAAATGAACCCATTTGGCTGTATTCTCATGAAAAACAAATAGTAGCATTGGGGGTCCTTGCTCAGAAACTAGGACCCTACAAAAAGGCAGTGGCATATTTTTTCAAAACAGCTGGATGAAGCGAGCAAAGGATGGCCCGGATGCCTAAGAGCTGTGGCGGCAGTTCTCATGAATACTGAAGAGGCTCGCATATTCAGCTTGGGACAGAAGATTATTGTACTAGTGTCCCATGTTGTATCAGCAGTTCCTGGAACAGAAAGGAGCCCACTGGTTATCTCCTTCACGTTTTTTAAAATACCAGGCCATCCTTATGGAACACGAAGATATAGAAATTGTGGTCACTAATGCTGTGAATCATAGAATCATAGAATAGTTAGGGTTGGAAAGGACATTAAGATCATCAATCCAGCATCCTTTTTGCAGGAACAACCAACAGGACCACTAACACATGACTGCTTGGCCACTGTAGAGACTGTATATTTGAGAGGACCAGATTTGATTCTTGGTATACTGATGATAGGAGATAAATAAAAACTGGTGAACGAAAAGCAGCATATGGCATTACCACCACTTCACAAGTAAAAGAAGCTAACCCTTTACCTGCAAACACCTCTGCCCAAAAGGCAGAAATAGAATCATAGAATAGTTAGGGTTGGAAAGGACCTTAAGATCATCAAGTTCCAACCCCCCTGCCACAGGCAGGGACACCTCACACTAAAGCATATCACCCAAGGCTTTGTCCAACCTGGTCTTGAATACTGCCAGGATGGAGCATTCACAATGTCCCTGGGCAACCTATTCCAGTGCCTCACCACCCTTACAGGAAAGAATTTCCTCCTTATATCCAATCTAAACTTCCCCTGTTTAAGTTTTAACCTGTTACCCCTTGTCCTATGACTACAGTCCCTAATGAAGAGCCCCTCCCCAGCAACCTATAGGCCCCCCTTCAGATACTGGAAGGCTGCTATGAGGTCTCCACGCAGCCTTCTCTTCTCCAGGCTGAACAGCCCCAACTTTCTCAGCCTGTCTTCACATGGGAGGTGCTCCAGTCCCCTGATCATTCTCGTGGCCCTTCTCTGGACCTGGTCCAACAGTTCCATGTCCTTTTTATGTTGAGAACAGCAGAACTGCACACAATACTCCAGGTGAGGTCTCACAAGAGCAGAGTAGAGGGGCAGGATCACCTCCTTCGACCTGCTGGTCATGCTCCTTTTGATGCAGCCCAGGATACGGTTTCTTTCTGGGCTGGAAGCGCACACTGAAGCCGGCTCATGTTCATTTTCTCATTGACCAGCACCCCCAAGTCCTTTTCTGCAGAGGTGCATTGAATCTCTTCTCTGCCCAGCCTGTAGCTGTGCCTGGAATTGCTCTGACCCAGGTGTAGGACCTTGCACTCGGCATGGTTAAACTTCATGAGGCTGGCATCAGCCCACCTCACAAGCATGTCAAGGTCATTCTGGATGGCATTCCTTCCCTCCAGCGTATCAACCGAACCACACAGCTTGGTGTCATCAGCAAACTTGCTGAGGGCGCACTCAATCCCACTGTCCATATCAGCGATGAAGATGTGTAACAAGACCGGTCCAACACCGAAAAGGGACACCACTCGTTACTGGTCTCCAGCTAGACATTGAGCCATTGACCACAACTCTTTGTGTGGCCATCCAGCCAGTTCTTTATCCACCGAGTGGTCCACCTATCAAACTGATGTCTCTCCAATTTAGAGACAAGGATGTCGTGTGGGACAGTGTCGAATGCTTTACACAAGTCCAGGTAGATGACATCAACTGCTCTACCCCTGTCCATCAGTTCCATAGCCCCATCATAGAAGGCCACCAAATTGGTCAGGCAAGATTTCCCTTTGGTGAAGCCATGCTGGCTGTCACCAAGCACCTTGTTGTTTTTCATGTGCCTTAGCATGCCTTCCAGGAGAATCTGCTCCAGGATTTTGCCAGGCACAGAGGTGAGACTGACTGGTCTGTAATTCCCCGGGTCATCCATTTTCCCCTTCTTGAAAATGGGGGTTATATTTCCCTTTTTCCAGTCATCAGGAACTTCACCTGACTGCCATGATTTCTCAAATATGATGGCCAGCGGCTTAGCAACTTCATTCACCAGCTCCTTCAGGACCTGCGGATGGATTTCATCAGGACCCATGGACTTGTGCACGTTCAGATTTTTAAGATGGTCTCAAACCAGTTCCTCTCCTACAGTGGGCCCAAGGTCTTCATTCTCACAGTCCCTGCGTCTGCCTTCCAAGACTTGGGTGGTGTGGTCAGAGCCTTTGCCAGTGAAGACCGAGGCAAAGAAGTCATTCAGAACCTCAGCCTGCTCCAAATCCTGTGTAGCTAGTTCACCTGAGAGCTTCCTGAGGGGGCCTACGTTGTCCCTAGTCTGTTTTTTATTTGCTATGTACCTGTAGAATCCCTTCCTGTTATCCTTAATATCCCTAGCCAAGTTTAATTCTAACTGGGCCTTAGCTTTCCTAACCTGGTCCCTAGCTTCCCGGACAACATCCCTGTACTCTTCCCAGGCCGCCTGTCCTTGCTTCCACTTTTTATAAGCCTTTTTTTCAAATAATAGCATTAATGAGAGCCCTGGAACTGGCTAAAGATAAAAGGATAAATATTTGGACTGGTTCTAAATATGCATTTGGTGTGGTCCATGCACATGGTGCTATCTGGAAAGAACGAGGACTTTTGAACATACAAGGGAAACAGACTAAACATGCTACAGAAACTGTTGTTCAGCTACCTGAGGAAGTAGCTATTATGTATTGTAGAGGACATCAACAAGGTGACCCTAATCAGAAAATTGGAAATAATTTGGCCGATTTTGAAGCCGAACGAGCAGCTGAACAATCTAAAATCATGTCCTTAACCCCTGACTGACGGCAAACTAACAATTGAGAAATCTGAACCTAGATATTCAAAAGAGGATAAAAAGTTGATGGAAGATCTGAAAAGGCAGGAAAACAAAGAGGGTTGGGTTCAGATACCTGGTGGGCAAATTGTAAATCCCTATAATCAACTGTGGAAGCGAGTTCAGGGGAAACATAAGAGAACTTGGGAGAGGAAGTTACCCGGGACAGCAGTGGCAAATAGATTTTTCTGAATTACTGAGAAAAGGGGGTTAGCGATATTTGTTGGTGTTAACGGATACTTTTTCATGCTGGCCAGAAGCATTAAACAAGATAATGCCTCATTTTGGAGTACCAGCAGCAATTTCTTCTGACCAAGGCTTGCACTTAAGTGCAAAATTGTTCCAAGAACCAAATGTCTCTAGACAGGTTATTGGCTTCACGAGGAGGGGTTTGTTCCATAATCGATGGTTCCTATATAGAACAAAGTGGCAGAATTGACAGAGATCTGGAGGAAATTTGGAAACAAACCACAGTATTTCATGAGATGACCAAGGATGATACCTCTTGGGGTTTTGAAGAAATATGGAAAAAGTTAACTTCATGGTTACCTAATCTCTCCTGTTTGAGGTAACTGCTTGCAGAAATATTAATACTAATTGTTTTAACACTGATTACTTGTGACATGATACATAGCAAAAGAATTTGCAAAGGTAAAAGAAAGGGGGACTGGACATAAGGAAAGCAAGTGCCTGGACAACAGTCTTAAAATACTTTCAGTTTAGGTCTAAGAAAACAACGTTTGTGTTGTCAGTCTGTGGTGTGATAATAGAATTTTGTAGTCTTAATAACAAGAGTGAATTGTTTCCTTTCATCCCTGTAATGAGTGAATTATTTCTTACCATCCTTCTAAGTATCAGTTTGGATACAGTGACTCCGGAACATCTGCTAGCTTGAGAGGCAATCAATTTTGCACGAAGGTCACACATAACGACACCTATGATTTGCGAAAGCCAATACATTTATGTGTTTATCACAATAAACCGCCTGTGAGACAGGAACCACCACAAGAGGAAAGTGGGGATTGCCAATCAGACACCCCTCCAGGCAGTCCAGTATCCTCTCATACCTGAAGAAGGCAAGGGCAGGAAATACTGCAAGCAGAACAGGATGGGCAGACAAGGAGTATCCTAAGCTAGCAGATGTTCGGGAGTCACTGTCCCCAAACTAACTGGTAACTAGAAGGATGGTAAGAAATAGTTCACTCATGTTAGTAAGACTACTAAATTCTGTTATGACACCACAGACTTACACCGCAAACATTGTTCTCCATCTTAGACCTAAGTTAAGCTAAAAGTATTTTAACCCTATGTTTTCCAGGCACTCCCTTTCCTTATATCCCTCGGTAGCGACAGGCCCGCGGGGGGAGCCTCGCCGTAGGACGGCACCATCGCCACCGGCAGCCCAGCGCCGCCACCTTCCTCCGGCCTTGGAGGCGAAGGCAGCGCCCGCCGTTGGTCGCTGCCGTCACGGGGCAGCGCCCCCTGGTGCGCCGGTCCAGCCGCTGAGGGCGGGCCTGGCCGGGCCGCAGGGAGCGGGGCCTGACCCGGTAGGGCTTGGCCCGGAAGCCCGCCCACCGCGGCCGCGTGAGCTTCCCTGGCAGGGGGTGCTGCGGGGCCCTTTGCTCTCCTCTGCACGCCTCCTGGAGCCGGGGTGCCTGCTCGGCGCGGAGCCGCTAGCTCCCGAGCCGCGCCGCTGGTAGCGGTCGGTGAAAGGCCAGCTCGCCTGACCCTCTTCGTTTCTTTCCCCGGAGCAGGCCCCCGGAGCGGAGCCGGAGATGCTCATGCACATGGATCAGAAGGAGGAACTGCGGTTGTCCCGTCCCCGCTCCTGCGAAGGGAAGAGTGCTCTGAGCGGCACCTCAGGTAAGGGCCGTGAGTGTGAACCCGTCATGAGAAAGAGTGCTGCGGGAGCACCAGCGCCCCCAGAATGTAGAAGGGCGGCGGTGCTGGGTTGGAGCAGGGCCTGTCCAGCTTCACCTGCTGCCTGTGACAACGGTATTCATAGCACCACAGGCCACCAGGCTGGGAGGGATCTCAAGGATCATCCAGTACAACTTTTCCAGGCAAAGCATGACCTGGACTGGATGTCCCAGTGCCCTGTCCAGCTGAGTCTTTAAAGCATCCAACAGTGGGGAGTGCACCTCTTCCCTGGGGAGATTATTGCAATGGCTGGGTGTTCTCACTGGGAAAAGTTTTCCTCTTGTGTCCAACCAGAATCTGCCCAGGAGTAACTTGTACCCCTCGTCTTTTCCATGGGACCCCTTGTGAAAAGGGAGCCTCCGTCTTCTTCATAGCCACCCTTAAATAGTGGACTGTGGTGATCAGGTCTCCCCTGAGCCTTCTGTTCTCTGGGCAGAACAAGCCCACCTCTCTCGGCCTTTCCTCATACAGCAGGCAGCAGGCCCAGCCCCTGATCAAGACCCAGAGAAGGGCAGACAAGCAGTGATGTGTCCCTGTATCCTTTCACAGGCCTGAGGCATCTGTGGCTTCAGAAGCTCCTGAACTAGGCACATAACGTCTCAAGATCTCTCTTCTTGCCTTCTCAAGCTGCGCACATTGTAGCATCCATGGCAGCTTGCAGCAAGGAGTTCCCCAGCTTATTTAGGTGATTTATGAATTGCTGCCTCCTTTAGTTTGCTTTGAAAGTGCCTTTTACTGCTGGCAGGAGTTCTTAATTTAGAACAGATGGTGCAGGATAGATGCCAAACCCCCCCACAGGCCACTTGTGTTTTTATAGTCCTCTGTGATACCCCTATCAGCTGTACCTTTTCCCAGCAGAATGGGCAGTTGACTCCTCTCCTATACAGGATCTGTTCTGTGCCTCTGATGGTTCCTGTCATGCCTCTGTCTTCCTCAGCTCTGTCAGAGTGTCTCTGACATGGGGGATCCGTCCTCCCCCTTGCACACAGTCAGAATGTGGGGTTTGAGCAGCAAGGCAGAATTTCCTTCTCTTTTCTTCCCTGTTGTTTCCCCCCAGCACTCATTGATGCTTGACTGGCTGTGTTGTGTGCCTAGGAGCTGCAGTTTTCATCCAGCTGCTCAGACTCCAAGGTGCTATTCCTGAATGATATCAAGAACATCCTAGGCCCAGCCTGGTGTAAGTGCAAGCTGTAGAGGCTGTTCTCCTGTGAAGGTCTTTGTTTACCTGCAGTGACCGTCCCCTGTCACCTGGTTGGTCAGTATCTCAAGGCTCTGCCACAGTTTGTAGTCAGCCTTTGTGTCTTTAACCCTGAGGAACACAAAGTCATCAGCAAATGTTTGCACCTCCCTTTTCCCTTCCTTACCACCCTGTCAGGTTCATTCATGCCACAGCAGCTTAGCTTCTTTAGCAGTTTTGGTGAAGGATGAATGTCTTTCGGGAATGCCTCTGGACCCCACATGTCCCTTTTCTCTGCTTACCTGGAGCTTGCCTTGTAGCTATAGCACTGGCAGTCTTGGGCATATCAGAGGTCTTGCCATCAACCTAAATTGGCGTGGGCTGAGGGAGAGCCACATTCTTCATGTCTCTCTTGCATGTTCATTTTTGCCAGTTCAGCCTTATGCTTCTAGTATTAAATCCTCATCATTGACCTTGCTCTCCTTCCACTTGAAATACTTCCAGTGAGTTCCTGTCTTGCTTTTATCAAAGCCTTTACAGACAGCGTGTCCTAGGTGCCAGTGAAGGTACCTAGTAGCTCAGAAGTAGCAGAAATGACTGTAGAAGCGCTAGAGCCGTGACAATAATTGTAAAAAGAATCTTGACACTCCTGATCTTCCCCCAAAAGTATAGAACACCATAGAAAACTTAATCGTCAGGAGTGGCACAAGGCAGGCTCCAGGCAGTGTCCATGTCTCCTGCCTTGTGCATCTTCTTGCTCTTCAGTACCAGCAGATGGCTTCGATGGGGCTTGCTGCATCCTGGTCTTGTGCAAGGTGTCCCTGCACATGGTAGGAGGCTGGAACTGGATGTGATCTGTAAAGCCCATTCCAGGTAAAACATCCTGTGGTTCTATGAGTTTCAGGTACAACATCCTGGAAGAGCAAGCATCTTTCCCATTCAAGCAGTAAACTTTTGCCTCTAATATGCCAGTGATTTCAGTAGATTCAGGTTCTGGTGAAGCATGCTGAGCGATTTACAGCATTTGCTCCTGTGAACACTCTGAAAATTCGACTTTGTAGTTTGGAGGGAAATACCATGTCCTGAACGCAGGATGTACCAGAATGTTTTATACTTAAAGTCAATCTATCTGCTGAATTTTTAGCATTTGGCCTATTGCGATTTGCCCTGTCCAAAGCTTCCAGTCCTGCCTGTGACTTGTCTGGATTCTCATTTTATTGTAGCTGAAGATGGGATTGTGAGCACGAATGAAGACAATGACCATCAAGGTGTCCCCAGGCCCGTGGAATCCAAGGGTTTATGCTCAGGACTGTCTGAGGAGAACAGTTCCCAGGGTCCTGCACAGAACCCTGTTCTCCCATACAGTTCAGAAAGGATTCAGAGATCCAAGAGCTTCCAGGTGAGCTCCAACCTCATCCAGCATCGGAGAATCCACACTGGAGAAGAACACTTCACCTGCACTGAATGTGGGGAGAGTTTCCAGCACCGGTCACATCTTATTCAGCACCAGAGGATCCACACAGGGGAGCGGCCCTACGAGTGCTCCGAGTGCGGGAAGAGCTTCAGAGAGAGCTCGAAGTTGATCCGGCACCAGGTAACCCACACTGGGGAGAAGCCCTACAAGTGTGCCGAGTGTGAGAAGAGCTTCTCTGGGAACTCGCAGCTTGTCCTGCACCAGTGGGTGCACACTGGGGAGAAACCCTACAAGTGCAGGACCTGTGGGAAGAGCTTCAGTGTGAGCTCGAAGCTAATCGAGCACCAGGTAATCCACACTGGGGAGAATGCCTACAAGTATGCTGAGTGCGGGAAGAACTTGTCCAACAACACGCAGATCGTCCAGCACCAGCGGGTGCACACAGGGGAGAAACCCTATGAGTGCAGGACATGCGGGAAGAGCTTCAGTGTGAGCTCAGCCCTGACACAACACCAATGGGTCCACAGCAGTGAGAAACCCTACGAGTGCAGGACCTGTGGGAAGAGCTTCAGTATTAGCTCAAACCTGATCCAGCACCAGGTAATCCACACTGGGGAGAATCCCTACAAGTGTGTTGAGTGCGGGAAGACTTTTTCCAGCAACACACAGCTCATCCGGCACCAGCGGGTGCACACTGGGGAGAAACCGTATGAGTGTACAAAGTGTGGGAAGAGCTTCAGCGTGAGCTCATCCGTGATACGACACCAGCGGGTCCACACCGGGGAGAAACCCTACAAATGTGCTGAGTGCGGTAAGAGCTTCTCTGAGAACTCGAAGCTTGTCCAGCACCAGCGGGTGCACACTGGGGAGAAACCTTACGAGTGCAGGACCTGCGGAACAAGCTTCACCTTGAGCTCAGCTCTGGCGCGGCACCAACAGGTCCACACCGGGGAGAAACCCTATGTGTGTACGGACTGTGGGAAGAGCTTCGGGCACAGCTCTGCTCTCATGAAACACCGGCTGATCCACACCGGGGAGAGGCCCTACTCCTGCGTGTTCTGCGGGGACAGCTTTCGGCAAAGTGCCCACCTCATCCAGCACCAACGCATCCACACTGGGGAGCGTCCCTACGTCTGTGCTGAGTGCGGGAAGGGCTTCAGAGTGAGCTCGGCGCTCTTCCGGCACCAGCAGACCCACAGGGGTGGGGGGCACTAGGTGGGGTGAGTGTGGGGGAGTAGTGAGGTCTGATACCCTGTGAGCAAAGCCCGGTGTCTCCCCCTCACATTGACCACCCTGCTTGTGGAGGGTGAAAGCAGTTTCTTCCTAGGAGAATGAGCCCTCGGAGTTGAAGAAGGGGAGAGCTGGTGGACGGAGCTGATTGGAGGTTTGGGGCAGGTGTCAGGAGGAAGGTGCCCGACTCCTTTCAGTGGTGGGCAGCCCCAGGATGAGGAGCAGTGGCCATGAACTGAAACACAAGAGGTTTGACCTCGACACAAGGAAGAACTTGAGGTCACCCTTGGCTGAGGCGAAGCAAAAGGAGGCAAGGCCGGGGACTTAGGGCCGCTGTGCGGTGTCCCGGCCGCCTCCACCGATCGGCAGTGCGGTCGCGGGCGGCTCCTGATTGGCTGCGCTGTCCCCACCGTAGGTGATAAATTCGGGGCGGCCGGGCCGGGCGTTGATTTCACGCCGCGGGGTTGAGGGCGGGTGGCGAGGGCTGTGTCAGAGGCAGAGGGTGAGTGCGCGCGGCGTGCGTCCATGGCGACGCGGTGGTCTGGCCCCGGGCTGAGGCCCTCGGGGTTACCCGCGGGTCTCCCCCACCTCCGACAGGGCTCTGCTCCCCTGGGTGCGCCCCCTCTTCTGGTTCCCAGGGACATGTGGGCCCGGTAGTGGCAGTGGTCGACCGGGAAACCCGTATAGGCCATGTGAGAGCGGCGTCCATGTGCCTTTGCCCCGTGAGGCCTGGCTGGCTGCTCGCAGGAGCAGCGCCTGGCCCATGGCTCTGGCCTGGGCTCAAGCTGTGCTGGGTCCTGTGTGATACGTGGGTAGACTCTACAACTCGTTGAAGTTGTAAAGTAGGTATGCTTTATTCAGCGCTGAGGCACATGCGGGATTGCTTCTTGAAAGTCATGTGCACCTCAGCGTTTTCCTTCATATTTATCCTCTAAAATATTACATATCCATGATGTTACACAACACACCTATACATATTCATTACCCATCCCCGCTTCATATTATAATGAGGTAAAAGGTCGCTGCTTACGTAGTGTCTCTTGGTGGTCATTGGCAAGGGTCTCAAGATGAAGTAAACAAGTCTTCCCTGAAGTTCTCATCTGTCGTTGTCGTGCATGTTTCCTGGTGATTTAATCACTGTCCAAACCATAAAGCTGATTTCAGCTGGTGTAGGGGTCCAGAGAACAGGAGTTACTTGGTCCTCCCACTCTGTTCTGGCAAGCACAGTAAGTGTTGAGCACGCATTTGTTGAGGAACCTGACATTCCTCCTCCACCAGTTTCAAAGCAAGCACTGCAGCCGTGGCTATAGCGTGACCCAACTGTTTCTTTTTTACCTGTCCCTGATTCCTATACGCTCTCCATGCTTCCTCCCCGGCTCCAGTCCACATTTATCCAGCAAGCCGTCAGTCCTGTCTCTCAACATGTCTGTTCCCACCTGTCCACCTGTGCCAGCCACCATCCCACGCTCAAACACAGGAGCTGCGTGAGCTCACTTCCTTTCGCCCTTGGTTTTCCCTTTCTTTTTTTTTTTTTTTCTTTTTTTTTCATTCTTTTTTCCTCACAGTTGCCCTGGCTCGGCAACAGCACTTCTGCTTTAACCCTTTCTTAACTCTGAATGTGAATCTGGTACTTGTTGCCAGTGACAGCAATCTCCTCCTCCTTATCAATACCTGATAGGACAGATATAGAGGGTGCTCCTCTTGGAGGTACTTGTGATACACAATTTTCCTGCCTATCTTCCTGATTACTGTTTTTTTAACTTTAAACATCATTCCCCCCAATATCACATGCTGAACAACATCTCTCTGCCTTAACTTTTAGTTTTTCCCTGTCCTTTTCCAAAGCCAAATTCAAGGAATTTGGTAGAGCTATATTAATTTTGCATTCAGTCTGCCACTCCAGGTGGTTTCTTAAAGTGAAAAACATATCTGCATACATTACTTCATCCCATTTTCCTTGCTGCCTCAAAACAACATTAATTGTAACAATGTATTATAGTTCAGAATTCCATTTTTAGGCCATTTTTCATGATCTTCCAAAGTATACAAAGGCCGTCATTGGTTACAATATTTTACCAACATTTTCTTGTTTACTGATCCCCAGGAGACCCTCCCAGTTGTTTACAGTGTGCCAAAATGCAACCCAATGGGCTTTTCTTCAGAATTCCCTTGCTTTGACCAGCTCCAATTTCAAACAATCTTTTACAAATCTCTATAGCCTCTCTCTCCCAGTGCTCCTTGGATGCAATTATAAAAATAATATGAGAGCACCTACACACAGGTTTTATGATACTCTCAGGGGGTTCAGTAAAATAGTATCTCTGGGTTCTGCAGATCAACTCCCCTGTTGTTAGATCAGAGTTTCGGTTCCAGCAAAATTTACACTGTCCTAGTATCCACGGCAGGTTCCACCATTCAGAAGTTATTATGCACCCATATGTGAGGCTATAATTCTCTGAATGTAAAGTCCAGGTATCAAGAATAGGACCGCAAATATTAGGGGTTATACTTCTCTTATACAGCTGCTGGGGTGCAGAGAGGGAACTCTTCCTAACCCCCCCAATTGGCCACGGTTTACTTTTGTCTACTCCTTCCCCACTGCTTAAACACTGTAATCTTTAACAACAGACATATATACATGAACAAATAGACACAAGACAAACACGGTTGGTACCTATGCCATGTCTCAGTCTCACAAAACACTTAGACACAACACAAAACAAATATGCTTTGTCCATCTCCGGCAGCTCTCCTTGCAGAGAACATGGAACCGTGGATCAGGACTCCACAGTCACTTCATAGCTATGCCATGTCTCAGCCACACAAAAGATTTTCACCCCCACATGGGATCCCACATGTGATCCCACAGACACACTCTACACAGTGGTTCCGCTTACCCTTCTCGTGCTTCCTACACAGTCATTAGCAGGTCCGTCCTGGCTCCCAAAACCTGGGATGCAGCAGAGACCCTGGACTCACCTCGTCCACAGCTGCTCTATCAGCTGACAAGTCCTTGTACTCACCTGAGCCACCCCCAGGATCGCCAGTGGCTGCTATATCAGTTGACGAGTCCCCAGCTTACTGCTTGCAAGCCCTGCCTTTCCCAGTATGGGGACTACATTGTGCCCCATATGCCTCTTTGTGGCTTACCAGCAACCCCAGCCAAGCGTACCACTTACAGGCCCCCTAAATTACAGGCATATGGTTTTCTGCAGCTGGCACAGGTTGTTGTCTGTCCCCGCAGTGAGCAGTCGAGAAGTGGAGGTCCTCCAGGCAAGTGTCTTGGAGCGCCTAGGATGTCCGCCCCTCAGCCGATCCTGCAGCCAAACAGACGTCTCCTGGCTGGTTCACCGAATTGATATGTGGGTAGACTCCACAACTTGTTAAAGTAGGTATACTTTATTCAGCGCTGAGGCGCATGTGGGATCACTCCTCCAAAGGCATGCCCACCTCAGCATTGTTCTCCTTCATATTTATCCTCTAAACTATTACATATCCATGAGGTTACACAACACACCTATACATATTCATGAACTATCCCCACTTCATACTATGAGATAAAAGGTCCCTGCTTGCGTAGTGCCTCCAGGTGGTGGTGGACAAGGGTCTCAAGATGAAGTAAACAAGTCTTCCCTGAACTTCTCATCTCTCATCATTGTGCATGTTCCCTGGTGATTTAGTCACTGTCCAAACCGCAAAGCTGATTTCAGCCAGTGTGGGGGTCCAGAGAACAGGAGTTACTGTTACTTCCTCTTATCAATAGCCTTGGTCCTACCACTCTGTTCTGGCTAGCACAATGTGTTGAGCATGCTTATGTTTAGTAAGCATAACTAAGCAGTAACATTGTTCAGCAAGCGGCTTAACCGTAACCCCCCTGTACATCAGTTAACCCTTCATATCAGGTGCTGTCGTCTGCCAGCCGTGTGCTCGGAAGCAGCGGGGCTCTGTCTGGCTGTGCCAGGCCAACGCTTGTCAGGCCTCTCACATCTCTTCCCTCGGGTATTGCAGGCAAGCGTCCGCACAGCAGCTGAGGGAGTGTCAGAGCAGCTGCCTCATACCCTGCAATGGTTCCTGACACAGCTCCTCCAGGAGGATGTCTGAGTGTTTCAGGACAGGAGCTGCGCCGGGTTCTGCTGGTGTCCTGGGGGCACTTGGCTCTTCTGCGTCCCTGGCAGTGTTCAAGGCTAGGTTGGACGGGGCTTGGAGCAACCTGTGCTAGTGGAAGCTGTCCCTGCCCGTAGCAGGGCCGGAAACTGGATGAGCTTTACGGTCCCTTCCAACCCCAGCCATTCTGTGGTTCTATAATTCTTGATCCTGCTGAGCTCAATAAAGAGCTTGATGAATGAAGGCCTATGAAGCCTACTGCTGCCCCAGCTTTTCCTTTGTTGAGTGAAAAAGGTATGTTTTTCAAGCCTCTTAGTGCCTAGCACAGCACTGCTTTACGTACATCAGCTATAAGTGCCTGTCACTGGCCCCACTTGGGGTGTCCCAGGCACAGCTGACTGCATGCTGGGATAGGCAGGGCAGGTACTGGCTCTCCGCACAGCAAAGGCTGTTGGTAAGTTCATGTGTGCCTGTCACACTCCATTGCTAGTCTCCCCAGGTGCAAAGCTGGTCGAGTGATGTGCCCCTTGTGCTGTTCTCCCAGGCAGTATGAGAAAACAGATTCCGGATGCAGTCCCTGTCACAAGGGCTGATTACCCAAGTGCAGAACTGGACAAGATCTGTGAACTTACCAGGAATTTCCCTCCTTGGGCACTTTGTTGAGGTGCTGGACTGTGGCTGTGGGGGACAGAGGTAGCGTTTATGTGGGCACCTCTTAAAGTGCCTTAGACTTGAATTAATTCCTAGATGCATGCTATGTCCAGTTGAAGTTTTGAACCTACCTGGGGTAAGGCAGTGTAAAAATTATTCTGTGAGGCCCCAAAAACCTCCCCAGGGGAGGAGGAGAAGGTGTGAAGCTCTTCTGAT